CCCCAAAACCCCAAAACCCCAAAACCCCTTCATTCAAAATACTTTCAGATTTTAAATATCAGAAATTTTAAAATTAATTAATCTTTATCATTAGTCTATTTCTAGAATCCTAGCTAATTTTCCTTTTCTTTTGTACTGCTACTCTTTATTATTTTTGGCATTAAATTCATTTTTTTACATTATCATCTATAAGTTTGATTCAGACTGTCTTAAAGACTTATTGAATTCTTTACTAAGGAATTTGTATCTCATATTTGTGAGATTGTTTTATAATGAGTCAAAAGCCAAATTTTATTATCTGTCATCAATTTCGTAGTCTAATCTCAGTGAAAGGCTCAAACCATCATCGTCCAAAATATCTTCTCTTAATTCTTACTCATCTATTTCTGTATTTTTCTAGCTCACCGAAGACCTATTATTCTCAATGCCTAAATCATCATCAACTATAATATTGAAGTCTGCAGCATTAGGACCATTCTCTTGACTTCTCTAGTTTTCATTCTGAGAATGCTGTGTTACTTACTTACTCATTTAGTCATCCTTGGATGTAAATTGTGAGCCATCTTGATTCTAGTTATCTTTAACAATATACTGATCATCATAGAACTAGACTGATTTTTTCTTTTAAAACTACTTTACTTAAGTAGGTTCTTGCTTTATAACTGTAGTTTTATCCGTCTATTCTGGACCAATATGCTTTTTTTCTATATAATTCTAGATCTAAAGTTTTTAACTAGTATTCTTGTAGCCATTGTAAAGGTACTCAAGGTCTATTTCATAGTCATTGATGAGATTATCATGCAATCTTTGAAGAAGAGTTTTATTCTCATTTTGATCATTCTAATCTTCTTGAAAATCTTTTATTTTTCTTTGGAAAACACCTCTCATTAGATTTTTCTCAATATTCTTCAGTTTTTTACCTTAAAAAGCTTTTATCATTTTCTTTACTTTGCCGTAGATCACTAATCTAATAAGAGGATTTTTGTTTTCCATTAAGGCGAATGTATCCAGATTATTATCATCCGAATCTGATGATTCAGTTGCTGTTTCAATCAGATTTTATCTCTGAAATCTTAATAGCATTCTGTGCTTTTAGGAAAGCAACGCTTAAGCAAGTAGTCTAAATTTTCTTTGAGTCTTTAGAAGCTGTATAATATCTAGCTCCTAGCTGAGTTTTTCTTCACCTTTGTTGAATAAGTAGTGCTTTTTGTAGTACCGTTTTTATCTCTTTTTACTTAGGTCTCTTAAACAAAGGCATTTTCCAAGGTATTATAGAATATCTCTCATCTAATAGTTGAAACTCATCCTGGACACAAATGACATCAGTAGACTATTGATATCATCTTCTCCTAACACTTTTTTGCCTTTAAATTCTTTAGCATTTTTAATTTCATTTTCTTTAATCTCATATTCCTCTTACAGTTACTGCTTGGTCTTAAAACTACTAGATCTATGAGAATTTTCTTAAAGCTATGTATTTTCTATTGTTTAAATTTTGGTTTCGTTAATATTTGATTCAGTATTCTAGCTTACTCCAGAGGCTTAAACTCTTTACCTTTTTGGTGAATTTCTTTAAGAACCTTGTCTGCTGCTTCTAGAATAACTCCTTCGAGACTGATAAGGAGATTGTTAGTTTTGATAACTACTCATTCTTGCTCTTGAAGAATACTAATCAGCTGTAGTTTTTGCCCATTGATCTTAGTCTTTATCTTCTATTTAAGAAGGTTTTAATTTCCAATAGCTCATATAATCATAGTGATTGTTAATCGTACTAGAATCTTCCTTAAGAAACTCTTTTACATCAACCTATCGAGTATTCCATTGTTTATGCTTACTCTAAGGAGATTAAGATCGCTTCTTTCCTCTAGATGTTTTGGTTTTAATTTTTGAGAATTTCTTGGAACCAGGATTATCACTACTTTTATTATTCCTACTTCTTTGATTATTATTTTAACTCTGCTCCATTTCATCTAGCTTTTTGAGTGTCTTAATGTCTGGCTCAAATACATACTTTCTAACCTAATATATCTTCTTCATAATGTCACTCATAAACATTCTGGAAGAGATAAATCCAACGAAGAAGAATCCTATTCCCAATAAGGATCCATAAAGACCTCCTATGTCTCCTAATAATTCTAAAGCTGAGTAAACCTTTCTTGTATATAGATCGTATTTGTTGTCAAATCTAAGATATATTGCTATCACAAACCCCTCTTCTTCCTTAAATTGATTATCATAAGATCTCGAATTAGATACTTAGTGAAAATTTAGCTAATGAGATTAACCAAATTATATTAAATCATCCTCTAACTCTGCCTCCTAAGCTTATATGTAAAAATTAGCCTTTTTCATTCTCTTAGCTTCAATTTCGAAAAATAATGAATCATCTATGAACGGCTTAATGAATTTTCCTTTTTCAAAATTTGTGAGATCGAAGTAATTATTTACAAAGACGAAATTGAAAAACTATTTATCTAGATAGGAGTCTATGTAGGTCTAATTGAAGCATTTCTTCTTTGTCGCATTAGGGGGATCTATACACTTCTATAATTTCACTTCAAGATATTCAAACGAATCAGTGTAATAATTGCCTCGAAATTAATAATCAAATGTTGTAGTACATATAAAATTCGATATTCCCTTGGCTACTATCTCAGTTTCGTTAGGATAGTTAAAATTTAATTTCCCGCACTTTTCAAAAGGAATATCTCTCTTAGTTATGTTTTTTATTGTTCTTCCCTCAGAGTCCTTAGCAGCTGTTTAGTACAAACCAAACTACTTAACTGTAAAATGCCCAATTCTGGGATCTAAATCTTCATTTAAACCAAAAGCAAAATCAAATCCAGACAATTGTGGAAGGAATATTTCTTCCTAAGTCATGTCTCTAATCAAAGACACTCTTGAGAATTCAGGGTTCACTCTATTCAGCATGTTGTAGGCTTTGAATATTGAAAAACCTAAAAGAACAAGTATTAGAACAAAAGAAACTGATGCACCAATGATTGTTTTATAAGAATCTTCTCCCTTATATGTTAGCTAAATTGATTATCCAAACCAATCGAATCCTTTGAATTTATCTTCCATCTCTTAGCATTTGCTCTTTGGAATTCTTATATTAACCAATCTCTATTATATGATGAGTGATTATTTTTACTTTTTTCTAAGCAGCATTTCCTTACATTGATTATTTTAAGTACAATTATCAGGCTTAATTTAATAAATTCTATTTGAAATTAAAAAGAATTCTTAATATTGCTTCGCTAATTGATACTAATTTACAATTTTAAACATTTATCTATCTTTGTTGAATTAGGAATTAATGGGGTTTTGGGGTTTTGGGG